GGGAGGGATAGCATTAGGAGAAATGCCTAATGTAAATGATGAGTTGACGGGTGCAGCAAACCAACATGGCACATGTATACATATGTAACAAACCTGCACGTTGTGCACATGTACCCTAGAACTTAAAAAAAAAAAAAAAGTTCAACAACCAAACTTGACATTTCTTGAGTGGACTGAGGAGCAGCCCTACATTTGTGCTGCCAGAACCCTTCCTCTGCTTCTTGCAGAACCATGATTTGCTTCTCAATCTTCCCAAATGGACTGAGCTCCCTAAAAAGCGGGGACCATATCTGTTTCTCTGTTCCCTGCCCATCCACAAGAGAAGAGCTTGCCAGAGGTAGATGCTGTCCATGAACTCTTGGGCATCTGCTTGTGTTTTGCAGACTTGGGTGCAATTCAAGGGTGACCTTCTTAACTTTTTGCATTGATTACATCATAGAGACCTTAAGAAAATCCAGTGGCAGCCACTGCCCTGAGAACTAGGAAGCAGCTCATAGTTTTGATAGCTAGCTTGACTTGGGGGTAACTTGGCTCTGAAGCTCCTCCCAGAGGTGTGGGTATGCATAAGCATATGGTCAGTTTTCATCACTGAAATGGAACTCTCCCAGTAGGCTGAGGGTAAATAAAGTTACCAACTTCACAGCCACTTATGGCATGCTGAGGGGTCATCAGCTATATCTCCACTTGACTCCTACATCTGGAGTGGATGCTATTTATCTATTCCTTCAACTTTTTTTTTTTTGATATAGAGTCTCGCTCTGTTACCCAAGCTGGAGTGCAGTGGCATGATCTCGGCTCACTACAACCTCCGCCTCCCAGGTTCAAGTGATTCTCCTGTCTCAGCCTCCTGAGTAGCTGAATTACAGGGGCCTGCCACCACACCCAGCTAATTTTTGTATTTTTAGTAGAGACGGGGTTTTGCCATGTTGGTCAGGTTGGTCTCGAACACCTGACCTCAAGTGATCTGTCCATCTCAGCCTCCCAAAGTGTTGGGATTACAGGTGTGAACCACTGCGCCCAGCCCCTTCAACATGCATTAAACATTTGCTATGGAGCTTTGTATTCCTTCGCTATGATTACAAAGATTACAGACAGGGTACCTGTCCCAAAGGCACAGGCAAGGTAAATGCTGCAGTGGAGTGAGAGAGGATGACCAGAAGTGGGCAAGAAAATTAGGGTGAGAGTTCAGAAAAGTATTACTGGCTGTGGGGGCAGGGTGGATTTAGCCTGACTTACCCTGACGCTTACAGGAAAAGTGGGAATTGGCCAGATGGAGATGAGAGAGCCAGATGTTTTTGGCAAAAGGAAGAATGTGGCAAAGATTCAGTGGTGTTCAAGCAGGGGCGGCTCCAAGTGTGGCTGAGGAGAGAGTAGCTTTAGTTGACCCTCCCAAGACTCATGGATCTTGTCCAAGCCATACCCAATAAACATATGACCTCAGAAAAAACTCTGCAAACAGTTTCAAATCAACTCCCTATCCCTTAATTCCAATCTGAATTTTAGCTCTAAGTGGAAGAAGGTCTGAGGGGGCCACAATGAAAGTGATTCTTGCATCCTGGAAGTTTGGTATGGAAGGGGAGAAGGAATGATTGCCACACCAAGTGCCCCCTCACTGGTGGACTTGATTTCTCCAATGTTTCTTCCTCTCTCGCCTGAAGCTGTTGGTGTTAAAGGTGAGATTATAGACAAGATGTAGGCCAGGTGAGGAAGTGAATACTCATTTGGGGTTCTCCCTGGCCAGGTCCACACTGAGAATTTGAGTTTGCTGATGTCAGGGATCATGTCTACTATGTTCACTTGTTTCTCCACCACCCACTGCAGTGCCTGCTTATAAGAGGTGACCAGTCATTATTTTTTTGACGAATGAATCCACGGATAAATGAGCAACTGTGGACATGGCAAATACATACTGTCTTATCTATAATTACAGAAAGAATGAATGTTTTGCTCAATGTTACCCACTGAAAATAAATTTAAATTTGAACAGCAGTTCAGTTACATCAAGAGTAATTGCCCACTGCTGTATTATGAATGTGATCCAATTCCTGGAGACATAAGCATACGAATTATCAAAGCATAATTACACCTGACATTACGTGGCTTCCCTGCAGATTCCTTCTGACAACAGAAAAGTAAAAGTTCCATGATACAGCAAGAGTGACTCACCTTTTCATTTCAGAGGGCTGTACCTCCCCACTCAAGTGTGACATCTGCTTAAAAGATGAAACCAGCCTCCTTCCAAAGAAATGACATCTGGTCGGCTCTTCAAGGATGAACATTTTATTGGAATATAGGCACTTGGCAGAGTAAATACATGGTTACAAAGTGTTTTAAGTTTATTTGCTTTATATAGTGACCAGAAAAGTCAATCCATGGTGTCGATTTTTTTTCTTGAAATTGCAGACTTTAGAAGGCAAACCCTCAAACCCATCTCTTTATGGTGAAGTGTGAAGGCACATGTTGCCAACTGTTGCACCGAGTGAAACTATTATTATTAAGTCAGTGATGCCCTTCCCTTCTCCACATCAAAATTGCTATGAATCACATATCACTTAACCTTATTATAATGAACAAAAATCACTTTTGTCTTGGGGAACTGTGAAACCTTTTGAAATCACTAGCTCCAATATAGAAGACTACAAAACCAGAGTTGAGAATTTTTATAATAAAAAATGTAAAGCCAGAAAGCTTTTGTACAAGTTGGAATCTTACCCTGGTAGTCTCTAAAATCTTTTTGGAAAAGATTACTATGTGTAATGCAAAAAAAAAAGTTTACTATGTGTAATGCAAGGCACTTGTGTCTCTGCTCAAAGCTACAAGGGAAAAAATGACAAACCCAATTTTTTTCAAGGAAAATATTTTTTCTTTGTGAAAGGTCAGTAGTAAAAGAACTAGTTTAAAGTCATGGAGTTTTTGCCAAAAACCATGTCTCGAGGTTTTATGCATTTCTAATGGCTTTGCCCATACGAGAGATCCCCAGAGTGGCACACAGAGGCTTTTCATGCTGTTCATTTAGATCAGAATAACCTTGCTCCAATCTGGAAACTACTGAAATGACACGTACAAGTCTGTATGAAAAGCAAACTAAACTCATAGTGATATGAAGTTTTTCCATTCATCTTGTTAAAATGAAGACAGAGTATTTTAAATGCACTCTAGTTTCCTGTTCCATCTTCAAATTTAACAATTATCCTGCTTATTCTAGAAAACTTGTCTTTTTTATTTTTATTTTTTTTTTGAGACAGGGTCTTATTTTGTTGCCCAAGCTGGAGTGCAATGGTACAATCATAGTCACTGCAGCCTCAACTTCCCTCACTCAAACAATCCTCCTGCCTCAACCACCCAAGTAGCTAGAACTGGAGGCACACACCATTATTATTTTCTGTAAGGATGAGATCTTGCTATGCTGCCCAGGCTTGTCTAGAACTCCTGGGCTCAAGTGACCCCCCCACCTCAGCCTCCCAAAGTGCTGGGATTATAGGTGTAAGCTATCGCATCCAGCCCAATAACTTGTCTTTAGTGAAATATGTACAGAAAATTCTTTGATTATATTCTGGAGTACATCCTGTCAAATAGTGCCCAGTCCTCCCTAACCTACATGATGAATAATTTAGGGCATTAATGTTCATCCATCCAATGCAGTGAAATGTACTCTCTTTTAGGGTTGAAAAAAATCTCTTAGCTTTCCAGGGGGTGCAAGAAGCCCTGCATTCAGCAAAGAAAGGAAGCCAGGAAGCTCCGGTGTGAGGTCCGCCTGGGCTGGGACTCCACACTACCGTCTCAGGGAGTCGGGCAGTCTTTGTGGGGCCGGGCACTGCTTCTTTGGCTTCCTGCCTTACTGGGCAGTGCATCTGGCCATCTGCCCCTTGGACTTTGGACTTTACTTAAGAGAAAACTCAACAAGGGCAGAAAGCCCAATTCAAAACGTCTCTCTGCCTAACAGCAGGCCCCAATAGCCCCAGCACAGCAGCGTTCTGGGTGTCCAGTTCCCACATGTACCGAGCAGCCTGATGCATGCCAGGTCCTCTGCACCAGGGATATTAAAGTGACTCAAGGAGGCAGGAAGCCATTATTCAAGGCTGTGGGTTTCTAGCAGGAAGCACAGATGATGACTAAATCCTAGTTTCTGTCCTTTAAGAGAGGAGCCTCTTGGAAAGGCAGGAAGTAAACCTAATTTCAACACACCATGCTAAATGCCAGGATATGAGTGAGCACTGCGGAAAGCAGAGACTGAGGGAGAAGTGGCCTTTACTTTCTTCACCTATGGTGGGATCCCTTAAAGACATGAGGATCTAAACACTCCAAGAAAAGTTGCAACAATTAAATATGATATTATACAGATACTGATTATTATTCATGTTTATGACCTAGAAATTCTTCATGGGAGGGCTGAAGAGGGTGATATTTTAATTTCTGGTTAAATGGTTGAACTGTGTGTGAAGCAAATGCTCTAAAGAACTGATATAAATTTACTTGATAGTGATGATCTAAACAAGTTCTCAACAAATATGTTGAGATCTGATATTAAAATTTGGGGAGGGGCCAGGTAGCTCACACCTGTAATCCCAGCACTTTGGAAGGTCGAGATGCGTGGATCACTTGAAGTCAGGAGTTTGAGACCAGCCTGGCCAACATGGTGAAAACCCATCTCTACCAAAAATACAAAAATTAGCCGGGAGTGGTGCCACACGGCTGTAATTCCAGCTATTTGGGAGGCTGAGAGAGGAGAATCTCCTGAATCCAGGAAGCAGAGGTTGCAGTGAGCCGAGATCACACCACTGCACTGCAGCCTCAGTGACAGAGTAAGACTCCATCTCAAATAAAATAAAATAAAATAAAATAAAATAAAATAAAATAAAATAAAATAAAATAAAACAAAACAAAATAAAATAAAATAAAATAAAATAAAATAAAATAAAATAAAATAAAAAGTGGGGGAAGGAAACCAAGATGTAATACCTGGGACTGGAGATTTTAGGAAATGATCTGCTATTTTTCTGAAGGAGAAAAGAACAACTCCTTTTAATCTTTTGGAAGTAAGTCTCTTCCACTTTCAACATTAATGGTTAGAGGTCACCATCCGTTAAGAAGATGTGTTTTGTCTATTTCCATTAAAATGTAAGTTCTAAGAGGAAGGAACAAAGTTCTTTTTCAACATGGTATCCCCAGTGCTTGGTATATAACAGAGACTCAATTAGCTTGCTGAATGACCAAACTAATGATTTCAGCTTTTGGTAACATCTTTGGAACTTGAGGGCATACATCTTGGCCTTTGTCTTTATTTATTCATTCATCTTGTGCCCTTCTGGGAATGAACTAGGACTGTTTCAATGGAAAGAGAAAAAAAAACGCTGCCATAGTTTGAAAATTGGCATATGTTTTCTTCCTGATTAAATTCCCTTGGACCTTTTAATTTATGCTAGAATGAGCACCTTATCTTTTTTTTTTTTTTATTACTAAGCCCAACACAGTGCGTGGCATGCAGTAACTGTTCAAATAATGTTTGTTTAATTGATGGGCTTTAAGCTCGATAACTTAGCTAAGCCCTTTGCACAGTCTAAGCCTAATTTGGAATGCTTTCAGGCTTACCCAGGCCAATAAAGTTTTCTTGCCTCATCTGAATTTCCTGAAAATGTGATTAATTAATAAGAATCATCAAGATTAATTAATAAGAAATCGATAGCAGGAAGAGTAACAGGCCCAGATAGTCCCACAGATCACACCTTCCGCCCTCCATTTCCGCTTAGCTTCTTCTGAATCTATTGGGCGTGATTGCCTCTGTGGAGCTACAGCCAGCGAGGGTGACTGTTCATGACCTACCCTCTCTTGCAGCCTGACTGTGGACAAATGCTGAGTCCTTAAGAGATGGTGAAGTAGGCATAGTAGATAGTAAAGCTAGACTTATAGTATACATTTGCATTCTCAAACAAAATTAAAAAGCCTTAAAGTGCATAAGAAGATTGCACCACTGAAAGGTAAAGAATATATTCAAAACTGTCATCCTACTGTTTTCTCGTCTGTCTTCCCTGCAATACTATTCCCTCCTCAGACATCCTCAGCTCCCTCTCACCCCAAGTACGCCATTGCCTTTGTAATTCTTATTAAAATACTAAAGCAAAAATTCATGGTAGAACAATTCATTTCCACAAAGGTTTGCCTCAGTTGCTCATGCCCTGTGTGCATTTCCTCTGGTTTTATTATTCAAATTCAGAATATACTTAAACATTTTTTGGTAACAGCTTACATGCAACCCCTAAGTGTACCCCTATAACCCTTTGGCTTTGTTCAGAGAAAGACTTTAGCCAAATTGTCCCTTTCACTCCTCTGAGGGCAGCTCTGGGGAACTCTCCTGAGCACCTTCTCCCTCCTTCACATCATCTTTGTGTGACAGCAGGACATCTGGGTTTGGAGCATCCTCCACCACCCACTGACACTCATGAACATGGGCTACCTTGATCTCCTCTGCATTCACACTGGCTGTGACCTGGGCCGCGCTGCTTTGCCCTCCCATCTCTTCCTGTTCCTCAGAAACCTGGCTCTCACTGAGGCAGGCGGGGTCAGAACCTAAAGTGCAGCCCTCTTGCTGTGAGGCCTCCCCGTCCTCGGTGCACTTGCTTCCTTCATGGGCAGCGAGTGTGCAGGCCTCTCCTGGGAGCTCCCCCTCCACGGGCCCCAGGGGCTCCTCGGTGAGGCCTCCACTGGCTCGCGGAGAGGCTGGGCTGCCTACCTCTGAAAATCCCCCCAACTCCTCCCCATGGGCCTCGGGACAGGGAGGTTGGGCCTCCCTCTCACTGACTTCACTTTCTTCACAGTTATCCGGATGGGTGGTAGCTGCCTGACTGGGCTCTTTTTCCTCTTCTTCTTCATTTTCTTGGGGAAGGTGACTCTCCCCATTCTTATCTTCTTCTATCACTGGAGCAGAGTCCACTGGTACTTCCATGGATGCTGTCAGCAACTTTCTGAGCTCCTTCAAAGAACCTAAGGCAGCGATGGGTTCTGGCTCTTCCTGGGCGGGTTCTTCACCCTCAAGGGTCCCTCCAAGCTCCAGCTCTGATGAACGTGTACCCGGGAGTCCTGCCGTGTCCTCTGCTGCCACAGGACTCACCACGAGGTCATCCACTCTTGAAATAATCACTTGCTCAGTCCCATCTGGGGGTAGGCTTGGCCCAGGGAGAGAAAGGCTTTCTCCTTTGGCCAATGAGCTAGGGACCTCAGGCTGCTTCTCTTCCTCCGACTCCTGGAATACTTCGTTACTGAGGGTCTCACTACCCGGAACTCCTGGCAGAATGGCAGAAGCTCTCCTGGCAGGGCTGGCCTGGTTTGACCCTGTGAGGGGCTTTAGATCTGTTAAGCTGGACACACTTTCACTGGGCAAGGCCATGTTATCTTCAAATAAGTTGTGTTTCTTCAGGATAGCGGCTTCCTTTATCACTGAGAGATATCAGAAAACAAAATATGGTATTAACACTCTGCCCTAGTCAGCCTGGATTTTCTGATTTTATTGAGAAGCCAAAGTCCTCTCTCAGCCTCTCTGGCTATCCAAATTTCTCTATTTCAAGACCCAGTTTACATCCAGGGAGCCTTCCCCGATGACCAAAGACTGTCAACTCTTTCCAAACTCTGAGCCTCCGTAGCATTCATTCGTTCATTCATTTATTCAAACAGCAAATATTTGCAGGGCATTTAACATGGGACAAGCCCTGGGAATGCAGAGATGAATAAACTATAGCCTTTGTTTTCAAGACACTCAGGGTCTGCAATAGTATCACCTATATCCCTCAGGGAGGCCCCAGCACATTTTATTAGCTGCTAAGATGGCTGGCTTCAGTTTGTCCACCTGGACTGAAATCCTCTAGGGCAGGGGCAGGCCTTACACTTCTCTGCTTTACCTTGCAGTACAGTCCTAAATGTGTAATAGGTACTCAGTACTGCACATGCAGAGGAGAGGGCCGAAATGAAGATCCGTGTGCATCTAGCTCAGTTTCAAAGGCCACCAGAGGGGCAAATCAAATAAGAACAACAACAGTAGGTGACATTTTTGACCACGGGCCTCCTACTTGTGGCAGTGCAGGGGCTCTAGTGCCCAAAAATATCACATCCCAGGGCTGCCATTCATATCAAAGACAGTATAGATTTGTGTATTCAGCATAACTTTTCAGCAGCTAGCTGCAGAGTTTCCTTCTCTAACAAAATCAGTATATTGTGACAATTTTCTAACAGAGAGCAATAATGTGTCTGGAGGAAAGGAGTCTTTTTCTCAATCACCCAAAGGTGCCCATGGTGGGCTGGCAGTGGCCTTGGCTGAGCCATTCCTTTGTGTAGACACTGTGCTGGCATCTCCATACTCCTGACCTCACTGGATTCCCTAGAATTAGCTACTGGGACCTGGGGCTTGTGCTTGGCCAGTTTTCATTGAGGAAGGTCTTTTGTGATACTTAAGACCTTCCCAAAGGAGATCAGATATGTTTCAGGCCCACGGTTTGATGATGGCCCTCTCCAGCCTTTTTTTTGGAGACCTAGTCTCACTCTGTCACCCAGGCTGGAGTGCAGTGACACAATCTCGGCTCACCGAAACCTCTGCCTCCTGGGTGCAATCGATTCTCCTACCTCACCTCTGGAGTAGCTGGGATTACAGGTATGCACCATCACGCTCAGCTAATTTTTAAATATTTTTAGTAGAGATGGGGTTTCACCGTGTTGGCCAGGCTGGTCTCAAACTCCTGACCTCAAGGGATCTGCTTGCCCCAGCCTCCCAAAGTGCTGGGATTACAGGCGTGAGCCACCATGCCTGGCCCTCCAGCATATTTTTAACAAGTTTTCCTATCCACAATCCAATCCCAGGCAAGGGATTCCTGAGGATATACCGGGTGCCAGGGTCCTACCGAGACTCGCATGACACTGTGTCATCACCCTGCACCTTTTTGTGTCTGGCTGAGCGTAGGCTAGGCATGTGTTGAGAGAGCCATTAACAAGCCTTGCTGCTGGAATTGCCTGTTCTCAGCTTTGGTGAGTGGGGGGCAGGGGCAGTTATAAGCCTGTGCCTAAGAAAATCCCTTTTCCCTTTGTTCTGTCTGGAATAGCAAGAGGAAGACAGCTCTTCATGAGAGACCCGAGATTTAATCTCACTAAGCCTCAACTTGCTCATCTGTAAAATGAAACTTAAAATTCCCATCTCACAGCATTCATATTTTTGTATTAAAAAGGGAAAATAATATCTAAAGTGCCAGCTTAGTGTGTGCAATGAAGGTTAGTATTCTTCCTTCTTTCCTTCCCTCTCCTCACTGTCTCCCCACCTCACCAATGTCCATTTCCTCTTCTCTTTTCCTCCAGACTGGCCATACAGAATCCTGTTTCAGGGACGCTCCCCTCTACGGAGAGTCCCTGCAGCACCAGGTAACCTTCCTTACCTTTCAGAGTTTCATCAAGCAGGATCTGATGTAAAATCTCCTCATAGACATTTTCAACGTGAATCATATTGGTATGATCTGCAAAGATGAACTGCTCATATTTCTGAAGCTCCTGGAGAGCAAGAGATAAGAAGATAAAGACAAAAAGGCATGAGATGCCTGTTCTTAGAGGAGATACAGAAAGGACGATTCCCACTCATGATTCCTTTCTTGGAGGGCATGGGAGAAGGACAATGTTGGCCCAGGGGCAAATTACTCAATTCAACAATATTTTACTGGGTTCCCTTCAATTCAATTCATTGTCTAGGCACCATGCCTGACCTCAACACATCTATTACTGTCCATGATAAGGTGCAGAACTCACTCAGTCATTGGTGATTCCTTTCCCTTTCCTTGTACTGGCCACGCATTTTATGCACTTCATGGGGGAAGACAGCAGTGATTTTTTTTTAATCATCTCAAGGCCTCAATAGTAGGTTTGGAGCCTCCTTTTTTTCCCTCATCACTAAGATGTTTCCTTCTTCCTTTTTTTAAAAAATTACAACAGCACTTTACCAAGGTATGTTATATGTAGTAAAATGTACAGATAAGTACAGCTCAATGATTTTAAATATGTAAATATTACCTACGTAACCATAACCCAGATCAAGAAGGAGAACGTTTCCATCATCCCCAAAGTTCCCCCACTCCCCTTTCCAGAGTGTACGCCTCAAGATATGAGCACTGATTTTATACCTATCATGATAGATTGGCTTTTGCTTGTTCTTGAACTTTATAGAAATGAAATCATAATTATTTTGCGTTTGTTTTTGAGATTCATCTATGTTGCTACATCTATCAGTAGCTCATTCCTTTTTATTGTTAAGTAGTATTCATTATATGGATAAACAAAAATTGTTTATCTGCACTCACATTGATGAAAATTGAGATTGTTTTTCAATTTTCAACCATAAATATAATTGCTGTGAACATTCTTGTATATATATTTTTTTGTGGATTTAGGGCTTGTTCATGTTGGGCATATGCCTAAAAGTGAAGTTGTTGGGTCATAGGGTAGATGTACGCTTAACTTAACTAGAATGGGGCCACTTTGGGGGTTGGGAGAATCTCTACTCAAGGGCTCTTCAGAAACATTTCTTTCTCTTCAACTGGCCCTGACATTCACTGATTCCTTCTAGGATAGCCCAGGCATGGTGCAACCCTTAACTCTCCCTCTTTTCCAAGGGTTTCCAAATGGCTTGCCTTTTATCAGCATGAGGACAGGGCAGGGATCAAAATGTACCAAATTATATCCCAGTGATTAACTCGGTAATCCTTGCACCTGGTGGTGCTGGGGCACGGCTTTCCACATGTGGCTCTTAGAAAATCAGGGACTTACCATGGGATCTGTGGTCTCTTGCCTGGAAGGACAGTATTTACAGCAGGTGATCAGAAGCACCACCTCAGACAACTCTCAGTGCTAGGACTTTGGGGCACTGTAGCCCAGATCACAGTGGGTAATAATGGGTTCCTTTATACCCAACCAAGAAGAAAGGCAAAGGATTGAAGAGACATGAGCTTCAATGGCCCCTAGAGGGTCTAGAGACAGGACTGTTGCACAGATTTGAGAAAAGCATTGCCCAGGAGACTGGAGACTGCCCTGGACTAGACATGGGACCTTGGTGAGCCACATCACTGCTCTGTGCCTCTGTCTCTTCCTCTGCTAAACAAGAGGCACAGACTCATGCCTGCAACACCCTTTCATCCTTCCCATGTGGTCTCCCATTCCTATCCCCCTGATTGTCATTCATCCCTCAGGACTGGGTGAAAGCATGACTCTGGAAGTCCTTCCTGGCTGCAGAAGCAGAGTTTGGCACTTTCATTGGAACTCTTCCCCATGAGGCAACTGCTGAGTTCCTCACATGGCGTCCTGTTTGCCTGTCTCCCACTCTCTACCATGAACTCCAGAACTGCAGGGATGCTGGCCTGGCATAATGCCTGGATCATATGTGATACACATCTAATACATATTTGCTGACTCAATAAACAGTAGGCCTTTAAATTTTCAACCAGCTAAATAATTCTGTGGGAAGGAGTACTTTCTATGGACATGTACACTGTCATGAAGTGACCAACTTTACAAAACAGGTCTTCTATGTTGAATTGGTTGAACAGGGCCATAGGTTTACTTCCCTCGGCCAATTAATTTAGTATCCCTGAAGGTAGGTGTTGGGGAGTCAGAATCATTTCTTCACAGTTCCTCAGACAATTCTAATACATAGCTCTGGCTGAGGTTGAGTACCACAGATCTAAGAAGCTGCTACTTATAGAGCCAAGGGAAATGCACTTTAGCAAAATAAAGACTCCTTCTAGGAAGCAGATAATCCCCTCATTCATCTATTCTGCAAATCCAGATTTTTAAAAAGCTCTTAAAGCTGATATAATATCCTCCATTACCAAAAACTCTGGGTCACAGGCTCTTTTGAAATCAATGCCTCCTGATTAAAAAATTACAAGAGCCTCTTACAGATTGGGCACAGCACACTCTGTTGATGCTTAGAAAGAGGGGAGCAGATGAGAAGGAGAACCTCCTTACCTTTCTCCTGAAAGAAGGCGGATTTGAGGCCCCCAAACTGCCTTTGCGATTGAAAAAAAAAAAAAAATTCTAAGCAGAACATCTGTGTGCAAACCCACCTAGCAGTGGTGACCATCATCATTTGGCTGCTGAACTGCTCTGCCATGTAAGGTCAAGGGTCAATCCCTTGGCTTAATCAAATCCTTTCCTATTAAAGAACCATGCCCCAGAAATAAATGCCAAATACATCTAATATGCTGATGATGATATGAAGAAAAACAACACTTACAGACTATAAAAATGACCAAAGAAATGTCTGCAGTAAAATAACTCATGCAAAGGATTTTAATGTTCCAGTGCTTGGAGACTCTTTGAGCTGCCAAAAACCTCTTTATCATTTGCTCCAAGAGGGAGTAGGCCTTGTTCCAGGTTAATAGATCATTTTTGAAATGCAGAAGTAGTAATAATAATAGTGGTAGCAGTACTTGATACAATTTCCTGAGTGCCTATCATGTTACAGGGAAGTGTGAACCGGGTTCACACTCTGGTGGTCACCATGTCTGTGGCCCTGGCTCAGTGGCTTAACCACTCAGGTTTCCTCATTTGTACCATGAGGATATAAATAATACCTCCTCGCAGAGCTGTTTTCAGTCTCTGCTGGCCCATTGCTCTGCTCTACAGATGAAGTCACACCCTCGTAATCATGGCTCTCACTGGATGCTCAATGTTTGTAGAGGTTTTAAGTGGTTCCATTGATTTCACTAAACAACATTGCTGGGTTTAACAGAACAAATATCCTGTAATCATGTTAGCTAAGCTCTTTTTTGGATGCAATGTTCAAGTTTCAGAGGACATCTTGGACCTATGAGTCATACTATAATGAGGAACACCCAGTATCCTTAGGTATTCTATGTCAACCCCTAGTTTGGCTCAAATTCAGATCACTGCCTTTTGAGATTTTGTCTAGTCCAGGGGTCAGCATATCTGGCTAGCATCTTGTTTTTGCAAATAAAGTCTGTTTATATATAGTCAATGGCTGTTTGTGTGCTACAACAGCAGAGCTGAATAGTTGCAACAGAAATAGTGCAGTCCATGAAGCTTAAAAGATTTACTATCTGACCATTTACAAAAATGTCTGCCAATCCTTCCCTGGTCTAGTCTGCTATTTGCCAGTACACATCACAAAAGAACTTGTTTGAACTTCAGAGGTAAGAAGAGCAAGCTCTTTAGGGTAACTCATCCCCTTACTGGTTTGCATGTGGACGCCAATGCCTTCTGCACGGTGGGAAGTGTGATTTGAACTAGTGCCTCTTGAAATATCTTCTTTCGGATGGTGCTGCTGTCATAATCGTATTGCTGTCAATAAAGAAACATATGTTAAATAGTAACATTACAATCTGTTGACTTATGCTTGTGCAAAAAACTCAGCCACCCACTTCACCTCTCTTTTCCCCCTAATGTCTGAGAACTCTTGTATTTCCAAGGCCTCAGAGATCTTTCCATGTAATCTCCTCACACTGCAGGCACAGTTTATAACTGATAATGATCCATCTCACTCTTACCTTTTACAGATATGGAAACTGAGGCAAGATCAAAACAGAGTGGTGACTTCTGCATTATAAAGAAGTTGGGGATAGAATTGGGGGGTGAGTTTGTACTTTATTACTCCTGTCCCAGGTAGGTCCATGATCATCTATTACTCCACATCCTCAAAGCAGGGTCAGTGGGTTGTAATGATTTCCACAAGGGAAGAGAAGGCCTGGCTAGTGGCTCCATAAACACTGTGATGTGTTAACCAAAGAAGTTCAGTATCCAGCACAAGAAAGATGATGATTCTCTCTGTTCTGCATTGGACATCCCAACATGGAGACCAGGATTTAATCTTAGATCTCACTTCAAGGCGATCACAGATAAATCAGAGTACAGTCATAGACAGTGAGAAGAATGGTCAGGCCAAGTGAAGAACAGTTAAAGAGACCAAGGTGTTTATACTGGAGATAACAACTTAGGGCAAGTTATAACTTATTCAAACAACCAAAGGCTGCCACGTGGAAGAAGGTTATGAATGAAGTGGGTAGAACTGGAATGACCAGTGGTGAGAACTTTGGTCTAACATAAGAAAGCATGTTCTTGCTGTCAAGAACTCAAATGGGCTATCCTGAAAGGCAAAAAGCATCCTGCCAGTGCAGGTGTCGGAGCACGAGTGGGATCACCCCTTGAGGGAACCTGCTGAACACTGAACATGAAGTTGAAGTAAAGGCACTCAAAATCTCTTTCAAACTTGAGGTCCTATTATTTGAACATCTTTCTACATTTTTTCTTCCTTTCTTTCTATATGCCAAAGCATTTGACACTGACACTATCTTTTTTTTTTACTTCCATTGCAATTTCATTATTATGTGTGTTACCATAATCAGTATCATTTTTAATATCAGTGAATTGGTTGCTAGAGTTTCCTCTTGCCTGTGAAGCATCAAGATCAAGTCCGAAATTCAGAGACCACCCTTAGGCTCTGTGGGACTTTGATCTTCTGTTCCAAGGCACTGTTTAGGATAACTAGAAGGCAGTAAAAAAACATCGGTTAAAAAAAAATCAGTGTATGATCGTTTATCCTTAAACTCACCATTGACCAGCTTGTTGAGCTTAATTAAGTCATATTAGCTTTTACAGAATCAGTTCCTCATCTGTACAATGGGGGCATATTCCAGTTAATGCACAAGTTCTTGTAGGGATCAAGTAAAAGCCTTTAAAATATAACATATGCACAAGCTCCTATTATTAAAACTATTTTAATATACATTTACGGTGAAGTACATTTAAAACAATTTCATATGGTAGGTTTCTTTTCCTTGGAGTATTTCCTTTGCCATGAGGTTTTGATTTTTCAATAAAATATTTGCCAGTTTAATGGATTTTACCATATTTGTAACCTCTTTGAAGAAAGAGGCTGTGCCTTGCCTATTTTTACATCCCACACAATACTTATGGTGGACAGCCAGTAAATGTTTATCGAGTCCCATCTCTATGAAAGCTGGGACACTGGGCCTCTAGCTGTGGGTAATGATACTGAGGACTAGCAGTGGTCACTAGATGGCAGAAGAGGCATGGAAGTCACACTGGAGAAACCACAGCAGATTGACAAGTCACTGGACTTCGGAGAGGAAGGAGTGGGGAAAGATTAGAGCGAAGGAGAGAACATGGTATTTTCCACTTCACAAAAGAAACAGGGGTCACGTTCTCATTTTATACTTCCCACAAACAAGAGAACGGTTTTACCTTTAAGACTCGGAGCTTAACCTTCTCAATAGCAACTGCAGTTTTGGAGGTCTCTCCTTGGAGATGTGGGGAAAGCAACTGCTCAAAAGTGAACACTGCATTCTCCATTAGCTAGAAAGCAGAAGTGACACAGAAACAGACAACAGTCAGAGGCTGGGATCACCAACCACAGGCTGGCTAAGTGGGCTTGGAGAGTAGGGGCCATCAGAGATGAGTCCCCTCGGCTGTTACTCTGGGGGTGACCCACAGCAACATCACCCCATCACCAAGACTGGGAAACAAATGGTCACGTGGCCACAGTGGGAGCAGGAAGAAGTTGGAAAACCCAAGGCCATGGGACTGAGCAAGCGTTCTGTCATCTCCTGTGGGTACTCCTCTTCTATTCTTCGATACCTGCAGCCACTGATTAAGGGATGAGGCTGGAGCCTTCTTCAACTAGTTTTTGGCTGCACCTCCACTTTTAAGTGGACGTAAAGCACCCCGCAGCATCTCTCTCCCTCTCTCTGCAGGGCTGGGAAGGCAGGAAGGGTCAGGGATGGGTGGGGACAGTGGCTGACACGCTCATGGCTCAGAAAGCAGAAGTAGTTCAGGTATCTTATTCTCTGCACCTTTGCCTGTGTTCCCGTCACCAGGGTCCAGTATTACGAAAGAGACATCTGCTAAACTGTTGCCCAATTTTGTTCCTTCTTCCTCTTTCATCCCTCACAACTCAAGGGTTAGCTAACATGTATCACTTAATCCTGTCCATAACTTTTATGGAAAAAAAAAAAAATGCTCCTTTCTTCCCCAAGCCCGTGATCCCAAAGCATCCAATATATACTTTTTTTTTTTTTTTTTTTTTTTTTTTTGAGACACAGTTTCGTTTTGTCACACAGGCTGGAGTGCAGTGGCACACTCTTGGTTCACTGCAACATCTGCCTCCAGGGTTCAAGCGAGTCTCGTGCTTCAGCGTCCACGTAGCTGGGACTACAGGTGCGCACCACCATGCCCAGCTAATTTTTTTGTATTTTTAGTAAAGATGGGATTTCGTCGTGTTGGCCAGGCTGGTCTTAAACTCCTGACTTCAAGTGATCCACCCGCCTCGGCCTCCCAAAATGCTGAGATTATAGGCGTGAGCCACCGTGCCTGGCCACAATATATACCTTTATCATCCCTTCAACACTGTAGTGAATTTATCTAAGAATTTGTCTCACTCAAGCTCCCTGAAGTGGGATTTGGTACAGTGTCTGGCCCACAGTAATCTCTCCTCAGAATATCTGTGTGAAATGGCATGGTGTCCTTTAGTGTTGATGACCACACCCCTTGTTCATTTAGGAAACACCATAATATGGGAAGAGTTTGTGCTATTCATTCCTGTTACTGGGGAGAAGGTTCCTTATGAAAAAAAAAAGAAACCTGTCAAGCAGACTCAAGAAATTCAAATATGAAGCTATGACTGATTGATTGATTGGTTTGCTCTTAATTACATTACGGAATTAATTTAAGCCAGTGGTTCTCAATCCTGGCTGCATATTAGAAGCAGCTGGAATCAGGGTAGGGACGTTCTATCAAAAAGTAACCATATAGGTTGGGTGTGGTGGCTCATGCCTGTAATCCCAGCACTTCAGGAGGCTGAGGTGGGCAGATCACTTGAGGTCAACAGTTTGAGACCAGCCTGGCCAATACAGTAAAACCCCATCTCTACTAAAAATACAAAAATTAGCCAGGCATGTTGGCACATGCCTATAGTCCCAGCTACTCAGGAAGCTGAAGCAAGACAATCACTTGAACCTGGGAGGCAAAGGTTGCATGCAGTGAGCCAAGATCGTGCCACTGCACTCCAGCCTGAACTTCGGTATTTCCTCCAGGTGATTCCAACGTGTAGCCAAGGTTAAAGCACTGATTTGACAAATCGAGTAGTTATCAATTAATGCTACTTTATTTTTCTGAGCTATATCTTGTCTATGATGTTCACCCACATGGAAGGAAGATGAAGCCAGTGGAGGGACTGAACATGTCCTCCCTCAACATGATGGCTAAAGAGATGCGACGCATTTCCCTCAGCTACAACAGCAGCCAGTCTCACTGGCCAGCACCCGTTTCTCTGCTCTCTCTTTACGCTCTTCCACCAGGGATGCCCCTGCCACACCCACCTCCTGCATGTAGTTCTGTGTCCTCTGAACCACCAGATCGACGTGGGGGAATCTGAAGCGGCTCTTGAGATCCTGCAGGCGCTCGTGAAGCAGGTTGACTTTAGTATAACAAGGTTCCATCTTCACGGAATGCAGTGGAAGATTCATAAGCCGGTCTAGATGCTGCATTTTGGTGAAGTGAAACATTAAACACCCTCAGATCGAGGAGTGGTATTGCATACATATTGCATATTACATACATTCTAAACAATCAAATGCATGTTAAAGTGAATCACTACTCGGATCCCTACATCTGTGACACCTTCAACTGTCTTATTTTCCTCCTTCAGTGGGTTCCTAGGGTAGCTGTAATGGTAGGACAGAAACCAGCAGAAACACCAACTGGATGACAGGAAGACCCGGGGGTGCACCCAGGGGGACTCCAGTCTTTGTAAGCTGTTGATGGACTCCAAGCTCCCACTTCCAGAGCTCAAGAACCAGGCAGGTAGGCTCTGACATACGGTTGCTGCTGGGCCCCCAGGCTTCCAAAATCTTCTTTAGTGAGTGACACTCCTCTCGAAAAACCCCAGGGAGTTGGGATGCTCCCTGGACTCCTGGACTTTGGAAGGGAAGCCAGAGTTTCTCACAATTCTATGAGGCTCTGCCAGGGCCCACGGGGCTTCCCTCTGCTATAGGTTGCTTCAGGTGCTAAGGGATGGGAAGTGGATAGGCAGAGCCCTGAACTGGGAGAAGTATCCAGTTTGAAGAACTAGTGTCCCTCCTACTCTAGTTTGCACTCAATCAATGAGGTCATTGGGCTTCCAGCATCAGACCTCACGTGCGAAAGCCCTAAAGTGTTATCAACAAATGTCGTTGCAACAGAATGCATTCTGTTTTCCAAGCTTATTTTAAAATCATTTTTTAAAGGGGATACTGGAGGTTTAAAATAAACAGGGGAATGGGTGGAGCAGAAGAAGGCAGAAAGAACGGTTCCGAAAATGGAGGGTCTAGAGGGAACGGGGGAATGAGGCAGAATACATATGAATAATATAGGATGCACTGTCTGACTTTCAGCTCACGCAGAAGAGATAATCTAGATTTCTAGGTTTCTCTAAACAGGAATTTTAAAAGGGCCCACTCTCATTATGCTTTAAAGGGAAAATACTGCTCCCTTTATGAAGTGAGTTATAGAGAGGTCCACTGAAGTGGAATTAAGGATCAAAAGCATGCTGGGGAACTTGCAGCTCCTCACAAAATGGAATGTGTCTATTTTTTTAAAATATCAATTAAGAAGACAGGAGAGGGAAAAAGGATTCCCACTTTGCTCCTATCAGATTGGCAAAAGTTTAATCACATGATAACACCTATTGCTGATGGCAATATGGGGGAGAAAGTCCCTATCATACACAATTAGTGGAAATGTAAAATTTAAATCCTTTTTTTGAAATGCAATGGAAACATTTTTTAACATGAGAAATGTACTTTCAACCTGGCAATCCTGTCCTAGGAATGTGTACTACAGAAATAAACACAGCAGGGTATATGTGCGTGTATGTGTGTGTGTGTGGGTATACATATGTATGTATATAAATATATATATATATTACAGCTTTATTCATAATGCCAGCAATATTGAGGTGAATGAATAAATCGTGGTGTATCCATACATGAAATATCATGCAGCCATTACAAAGAAAGATTTAGAGCGAAAACAGTTACCTTGGAAACAGTTTCATGAGGTATTTTTGGATGAGAAACTGATAAGCAGAGTAATGTATAAAATATAATCCCATTTTTCTTAAAGCAGGCAATCTAAAGTCTAGCCTCTAAGTGTGTGTTTTATGTGTTAGATGAGAATGGGGAAAATATAGAATGGCATATGCTAAGTTGTTAATACGAGTTGCTTGAGGGGAGGTGGTGGCATTGGGGAAGGGGGAGAATAAAGACAAGTAAAACAAAACAGGCTGCAATAAGAAACCCCAAAACATCTGTAAAGTGAGTCTGTTAATGTACAATTATATATGTGCATATATGCATAAAGAATAAAGGAAAAGAAATAGAGGCATCTGGTTTTATCTACTGACTTACAAGGATGTTCATCATGATATGTCAAGTATAAAACCAAACCGCCAATTTGTATCTTTGTCAGTGATTCTTAAACTGTAGGGTACACCAGAACCTCTGGCGGTCTTGTTAAAACAAACTCCTGGCACTACCCCTAGAGTTTCTGATTTAGCAGATCATCAGTGGGGCCTGAGAATTTGCATTTTAAACAATCAGGTGATGATGACACTGCTGGTCTGGGGACCATACTTTGAGAAATATTGATCTGTTAAAGCAAACTAAATATAGCCTGAGAAGGATTCCATACTTCTATATTTGAGTCCTTGTGGATAAACTGTAAGAGTCAGACAAAACTGAAAACCTAACTTAGTAGTATACACCTATAACAATAACTGAGTGTTGGCCAGTCCCAGCAGCCATACTTCAACCACTCATAGACTGCTGAATGTTCAAACTGCGTTCAGATAAGGCAAACGCCGAGTTGTAACCAATCTCACTATTTCTATTCCTCACTTCTGATTCCTGTACATTACCTTAGCTTCTTTGTCTGTAAATTTATTCTGACCGTGAGGCACCCCTGGAGACTTTGTGAATCTGCTGTGATTCTAGGGGCTGCCCAATTTGCGAATCACTCATTGCTCAGCTAAACTCCTTTAAATTTAATTTGGCTGAAGTTTTTCTTTTATCAGATCGTGTCAGAAGCAGGATCTGAAGTGGAGCTTCTAGTAACCCCCAGGAGAGCTGAGTGAACACACAAGGTACCTGCAGGTCCCACCTGTGTCCATTGATCTCTCAGAGCGGCTGGGGGTCGCAGGTGAGCTCCCTCTAGGATTTTGGAGCTCCATGGATTTGTGTTTTGAGCTCTCTGAGTTTCTTTGAGCAAGTTTCTGATCCAAACTGGGTTTGTAGTTATGACAGAAACTGGACTGGGTCCAGGAACAGATTTGATCCGGGAATTAACTGGCTTGGATCTAGTTAGAGGCCTCTTATATCTGACTGGGTCAGAAAGGAACTGGTAGTAAGCCGTAATATTGCAGGGGTTATAACATTTGGCTTTTGAAAATTCATAGGGATTTCTGTGTTCTACCCCTTTTTTCATTTTTCTTGTGTGCTTAGGTAGGAAAAATCACTGGCTAAGTTAATCAAGAGAACCTGGGAGTAAAGCCAATATTTTAGGTAAAAATGGGCTCCTTAATTTCTGGAAAACTGAGTTCCTTCTGGCCTACACATTAGGCCTGGGAGGCAGCGAAGTCTTACAGAAACAGCAAAATCTTACTAAACATAACTTACAGTGGAATGTTCCAAATGAACAAATATGCATTGAAGTTCTTTCTTTCTTTCTTTTTTTTTTTTTTTTTGAGACGGAGTCTCTCTCTGTTGCCCAGGCTGGAGTGCAGTGGCAAGATCTCAGCTCACTGCAAGCTCCGCCTCCCGGGTTTACGCCATTCTCCTGCCTCAGCCTCCCCAGTAGCTGGGACTACAGGTGCCCGCCACCACACCTGGCTAATTTTTTGTATTTTTAGTAGAGATGGGGTTTCGCCGTGTTAGCCAGGATGGTCTCGATCTCCTGACCTCGTGATCCACCCGCCTTGGCCTTCCAAAGTGCCAGGATAACAGGCGTGAGCTACTGTGCCCAGCTGCACTGAAGTACATTTTTTAAATGAGGGCTCTCATTTGGCTAGGAACGGTTTTCGCTCTATGGGATGTCAACTGCTATTCTCTTTGAAATAATCTGCCTTACACTCTTTGCTGATAGCTGTGGGTGACAGGATTAGGCATGTACAGGATCGTGGGACATGGGGAACTTTTTCCTCCCTCCCCAAAAAGAGGGAAACCTGAGAGCTGATGAGACTGCTGGAAAAGATCCTTTCGCTACTAACTAGCGGCCATCAGAACTTTTCAGTGTCGCTGAAATGAATGGGTCTTGCTCTGGCCTCCCTGAGCTCTTCACCTTCTGCACAATGCCACAGGCAATACTTTCCTTCATCTTATTTTCCTTTCATATCTTTTCCGTTACTCAAGGCAACCATCTTGCCCAGAGACCGCGCCTTGAAACTCCTAGTCGGAGGTTTGATTAAAGATGAGGAGGGCCATCTGAGGGCAAATTTAAGCCTTGCCAGTTTGATATTGGGTGCTAAGCAGAGTGGCTAATGTCTATGTTTTACTATTTTGCTCTGGCCAGAGTGAAAAAATAATAATTTTCCTTTATGATGTGGCTTGGCCCCCAGCGTGATGGTGCAGCAAGCTGGGTCACTAGAGCCACTCAGGGAAAGGGAGCCCAGAGCCTGGCATGCTGGCCAAAAGGTAAGGATTTCTTACCTGTCAGATTTCTGGCTTCTCTCTCTGTAAAAACAGTTGAATGAATGGTAAAAATCACTGCTTATCTCCATCTTGTTTTATGTTCTTGGGAGCTTGACTTTGTAATCACATAGCAGTACTTTCTTTTGGTCTCTGCCTTCCAGGGAACAGGAATTTTGGGGTTTATGTCATAGTTAGCTCTAAAAATTATCTTGAGTAGTTAAAAGCTTTTGCAAACTCACTGTTAACTACTCTAGATTCCTTCTGGGAAGGGCAGTAGAGATTGCCCCATGCTGTAGTTCAGTAGCTAAGGTTTTGCCCTTTCACAGTGGTGGTCCGGGTGCAATTCCCTGCTTAGGAAGCAAACTCTTTCTGGTTGAATATCTGCATAACCTTGTCTAGTCTCTTATCCTCCATGGACTATCTTAAATTTTCCTTTCTCTGAGCATCTGGGCGATTACCTACTATGGTAAATTTTAAAAGCCAGAAATATCAGCCATTTGGCCTGGCTAAAATTGGTTAAAAAGAAATTTTAAAAAGACTTTATTAAAGAGTGCTATGGTTAAAAGTCGGCTTAATTAGAAGTGGGTATTCAAGCTCTAATAGCCTGGAGGCACCAGAGACCCCTTTCCTGGCCCTGTTCTTCCAAGGACTCCACCGTAAAGTCAATAACCAATTAAGAAACTAAACTAGCAAATGAGAAATCTTACAACTACTGTATAATGTTCTTCTGTCTGTCTGTGTAATTATATATGTGTTGTGTATAATGTTTATATAAAAGAACTCTAATTAATTGGCTTAAACAAAAATAAGCACTTACA